TCGATCCCGATTTTCAATTTGCGCCCCGCTGAAAAAACGCGGAGCCATCCTCGTTAGACCACAACCCGGGGGATTATTATTCCTCGTAGAGGATATTATCGTTAACTCTGTTCCCAACTTCTATTAATTCCTTTCTTTCGTTTCGATCTCTTTCCACTCGAGCAAATAAATCGTTACATTATCCATTACACCGCAACGGTTAAATTATTAGCTTGTACCATGCCTAAAATTTTACGCCAATTTTAGAATAAACGACAATCAAACTTTATATTTTGACTTCTTTTTTGTATCAGTTCAACCGTTTTTTCCAGAAAACGAATTTAGAATATTATTTCTGCACGAGTTTAAATTACGCTACAATAAAGCATATCGAATTAGGTTATGAGAATCTTGAAAAAGATAAATTGAAAGGCGAAGCGAAGGCAGAAAAGTTAGATGTATTTCGAATTATAATTTTCAGACGTTTGCAATGAGTAAAGTGAACAAATTAGAAAAGGGGAAAAATATGTTTATCGCTCGAAAAAGTACAAACTCTTTTGAATTGAATTATAATTCTGTGACGAGAAATGGATACTATACGATAATTGTTGAACGCTGATAAAAATCGTAAACAAACACCGAAACCATTATTACGGCCGAAAAAAGTTATGGTATATGATCTGTAAAGGGAATTCGTTGTTCTTTTCTGAAACGAATACCATAACAGCAGCATTCTAATGCCAAAAAATCGATTGAGAAACAACCGCGTTAATCAATATACATGGATCTATTTAATTCACCGATATTTCGCCATTTACAGTTGTTTTTAAAAAATAAAATATTAGACGCTCGAGAAGCTGTAATCGCAGCTAAAACCACGAAGTTTTACAAAAATAGAATACATCACAATGGAATCTCGTTGGGAAAAGGTGATTAAAGCCAATGACTCGTATTTGATCGAATTATGATCGAATAAAGTTCATAGTTTCGAATATCGTTTTTCCTCCGAGCAACAAAAATGGCAATTTCACGTAATACGATTTAATATAAGTTTCTCTCTTATAATTCCAATTCGATGCATTTTTCGTTTCTTGCTTCTTAACCTCTTTCGTAGAGCAAACTTCTTTCTTTGTTACTCTAATTTCTGCAATTATCCTGTGGCTGGATAGTTAGTTTCTCATTTCTCTTTTACCCTTGAACGAATTGAACACTCGAGCATCGAAGCGAAAACTTTTTGTTTTGTTCAACGCTCAAGTTGCGATGGTTTTTTGTGGAAGAAACGTTTCTTTTTATCTTATCGTTGGAATCATCGTTCCGTTTCAAAGAGGCTCGGTTACATTATTTTGTAACTCGAGTCGAGAGATCTTTCGTGTATCGTTAGAAAAAACTGCACGCTTTCGTTCCAGCGAGGAATGTTTTATTTATATGTAGTAGTTTATAGTATATATATATATAGTATATATATATAATATATATATATATACTATATGTATATATATAGTTTATAGTATATATATATATATATATATATGTATATATATATATATATATATATTAGAGATATATTTATATATCATTTAAATTAAAAGACATTCTAGACGTTTCCTTACT